CCAGTGTTGCAGCAGGAAAACCACTGCAGATAAGCATATGTGAGTTAAAGTGTTTCAAGAAGGCGACTCCGTGATAGTGTTTCTAAGGAAGGAAAGGTTCCTTGTTGGTACTTATAGCAAGTTGAAACCTAAGAAATATGGACCCTTTAAGGTGCTGAAGCGAATTAATGACAGTGCCTATGCTATTGAATTATTGGATTACATGGGAATTTCCAATACTTTCAATGTTGCTGATTTGTATAAGTTTCTTGAGGATGAAGCTCTTTATCTTGAGCATAACTCAAGGTCGAGTTCCTTTGAGGTGGAAGGGACTAATGTAGAACAAATGGCTAAATGGATTGAAGAAGAATTGGAAAGAAGAAGGGAAAAAGCACGCAGCAGAAATTTACAGATTTGGCGTCCGAGCTCCGATTGGGTCGCATAATACCTTCTCAGAAAGGGAACAATGCCACGAGTCCAACACACCGCTTTCCTGTGATTTATGGTGGATTTTGGGCTTCTAAGGTCGTTTGGCCTTCCAAAAGTGCATTTAAAGAATGTATCCAAGTTACAAACTTTCCGTTTTCTTTTCTGTTAAGTTTCTAATAACTTCCCAGGCAGTCCAATGGGTGAGAACATTATATTTAGTCAGTCGTCATGCTTGGTTGAACTCAACTTTTATCAAATAATTAAAAGAGAATTTCTCTCTAAGTTCCTGGTGGATAACAGATTATTGTTCTTTAGGGTTTTCCACTACTACAAAAAGTGACAAAGACGACCAGAAAAAAACGACGGTCTAAGTGAAAACCGTCGTTGTTTTTTAAAAGACGACGGTTCTATAAAACTGCCGTGTAATAACACCTTAGACACCTAAAAAATGGAGATTCAAATGGCTGTTCCTAAAACACGACGTACCTAATTAAAAAATCGACGTCTTATTGAAATAGGATTTCCGAGTAGTAAAATCAAAGCCAACAAATAATGGCGGAATATATGAACCGACTGACGTAGAAAGTAAAGACGACGATTTCAAAAAAGCCGCCGTTTTTACCTAGAAATTAACACGACCAAGTTTTCGTATAAGGCGCCGTATAATTACAAATAAATCCATGGCGGTAAAATACAAAATACCGCCGTATTAAATTAATATACAACTACGGCAAAGATAAATATAACGATGTCTTTCTCGTATAGTTCTACGACGGTATCTTTAAATCTCACCACGTTGGGGTTTTCATTTAACGACGTATTATAAAATTTAACGTCGTATTTATTCACTTTATACGTCATACATTATATTTAAACCGTCGTCTTAATAAGAATTTTTTTTAACAATTTATTTCTTGGATTTTGTTATCCTACGTCGGTAGATCTACTTAATGACAAGAATTGAAATAACCACGACGGTTTATATAGAAAACCGCCGACATAATCAGATTTTTATGAGATCACAAGGGTTAGGAAATCTTACAAGATGGAACTCTATTCCTGATCATAATCTTACCAGAAAGACAATAACGCACATACACATTAACATCCAAAAAATTGCCTATGAAATTTGACGATGGCAGCCTCAGATTTGCAAACAGAGAGACAATTGTTTGGAAGTTGATGATATGTGTGCGTTTGTGTATCTACACAAACGCACACACACATCAACATCCAAACAATTGCCTCCTAAAATTTCATGACGGCAGCCACAGATTTGCAATCAAAGAGACAATTTTTTGAAAATTGGTGATGTGTGTATATTTGTGAATCAGATACACAAACATACACACACACACCAACATTCAAACAATTGCCTCCTAAGAGATGAGGTGAGACAGAGAAAGGGGCAAGAAGAAGTTGAAACCCTAATCGAATACTAAAACTGAAAGAACCTGTGAAAAAAAAACCCTATTTATAATTAAAAAACCAAATCCACGTTGGTTATATTACACCTAACGACGTTTAACAAAAAGAATCCACGTCGGGGAACAAATACATTACGTCGTCTTGGTCTTACTTAAGACGACAAAAAGGGACGACGGTATAACAAAAAACAGTCGTTGTTTTTATATTCGTATTTGATTTAAATCAGTCACCCAAAAAAGAAACTTTACAAATTCTAGAACATTAATTTCCTCCATTTTAAATTTCCTCAGGAAAAAAAACTCTATTTATAACGCACTGTTTTTGAAAAATAAACTGAAAGAACAAGGGAAAAAAAATTCTATTTATAATTATAAAAATAAAATCCACATCGGTTATATTACACCTAACGACGTTTTAAAAACGAATCCACGTCGCTAAAAAAATATTGCGTCGTCTTAGTTAAAAAAAGACAACGGTAGAACAGAAAACCGTCGTTGTTTCAATTTCTTTAACTATTTTCTTTCTGCAGGACTTGGATAGTTCAAAGCATCGACAGATGAAGCCATCTAATTCGATTGCTCATGCTTTAGAGGCCATCTGAAGCCATTTCTATTCTTTATCGCATTCTTGAAAACCCATCTTCTTCTTCAGAAGCTCTACGGATAAAAGAACAGGCTATCACAAATTTGACGGATCTTCTTAGCCAAGAAAATCGAGCAGAGGAGCACATCTGATCTTCAGGTTTCCCTGAGAAGCGAACTTTCCTTCGACAGCGAGTGGAGGCTAGGCTTGCATCTCTTTTGATGGAAAGCAAGGAGTATTCAGAAGCACTAAGTCTCCTATCAGGCTTGACAAGCTTCCTCTTGTGGACATAGATTTGTTGGAGAGTAAGCTCCATTTCTCTTTGAGAAAGACATCCAAATTACTGTCTTTGAGATGTGAGAGAGAGTGTCTGTGAGAGAGGAAGAACTTGGAAACCTAAATGAAAACTGAAACTGAAAGAAAGCGACAAATTTATACAATAAATTTTTAAAACCCACGGCGGTCCTTACACACAAACCGCCATTTAATTATAAATTCCACGTCGGTATATTACAAAAAAACGACATATATTATAAAAATCATCGTTGGTATATTACAAAAAACGACGTGTTAAATACTTCTATCATGACGTGAGATATTAATTTATCGACTTTTATTTTGGAGTTTACTACGACGGTACCTACAACACTACTGTCGTATTTATTTACCACGTCCTAAGTTAAAATTATCGTCGTAGTTTGTTTATTCATACGTCGTCGTTCTATGTAAACCGCCGTCTTATTTTTATGAAACGGTTTGTATATATATACAACTTTTCGTCTACCTGACTTACACATGCACTATTTCCAAACCCGAGAAAAAATTTCAATCTCCCAGAGAAAACTTTTCGTCTTTTTTCCTTGTCAGAGCACTGTCAGAGTATCTCATCGTCTTCCTCTCGTCTTTGTCGTCGTCTATGAACTTAAACACCAAACTTCGAGAGAAAGCTTTCATTGCACGCAAAAGGTAAGCTTTCATTTCTCACTATTTTTGTTGCTATTTTGCATGCTCATACGGTTTTTGTGTTGAAAATCTTTTTACCTTTTTTCTGGCCAAAATCATTTTAATTCTTTCCAAGTTTGATAAAATATACAGACAAAGAGGGAAAGTTTCCAACTTTGAACACAACTACTTCAACTAAATAAGACGACGGTAGCTTCTTATTTACGTGGTTAAATATGTAGACCACGACGGTTCGTCAGTCATCCTAGCGTCGTCTGAAAATTGATCTAAGTTGTTTTTAAAATGACCGTCGTTTTTTTATTTGCTTGTTTAATTGTAGGTTTGATTTCTCTGAACCATGGTTTTTGTTTTTCCTAATTTGATAAAATACAAAGACAAAGAAAGTAGGGTTTGGTATCTTATATAGACGACGGTATCTTATTATTGACGCCGTGTGAGTGTTAATACCACGACGTTATACTAAGATACCGTCGTCTATATAAGATGCCAACCCTTTCTTTCTTTTTCTTTGTATTTTATCAAATTAGGAAAAACAAAAACCATGTTTTAGAGAAATTAAACCTGCAATCAAACATTCACAGAGAAAGAAAAAGGTTTTTGGATTCTTATATAGACGACGGTATCTTATTATTTACGTCGTGTGAATGTCCATACCACGACGTTGTATTAATATTAACATCGTGTGAATTTAAATATCACGACGTCGTGTAAATATCGCCGTAATAAGTTCTTATTACGTCTTCTTTTATATTGTTTCGTCGTTGTTTAAGTACTCTCGTTTTAAACATTTATTACGTCTGATGTTATGTTATTGCATCGTATAAAATCTTATCATACGTCGTGTTTTATAAATAACCGTCGTTTGTGTTCTTAATTTTTTCCTGAAATATTTTCACTTGCAGTTTTGTTTTTTCTGTAACCATGGTTTCTCAAGACCAAAGTAAGGACTCTGGCTCCAAAAAAAATGGAGGTAAGGAGTTTGGAATGGTAACTCCTCAAGGCAAGCCCTTGAAGAAGATGAAGTTTGTTTCATCTGCTGAGACAGAACCAACCAGCACGACAACAATTTCTGAGGATTCAAAGTCAGGTCGAGGTATGAGCACAATGCCTCGTGTTGTGAAGAGAAAATTTCAGAAAATCAAGCCAGTTGTTGAGTACAATAAAAGGGGGAAAGGATGTGGCCCTGCACATACTGAGATGCAGTCCTACATTGATGTGTTGGCACGCTCCAGAGTCCCACTTGTGGACAAGAAATGGGCTGAAATCCCCAAGGATATAAAGGAGCAGATTTGGGAAGCCGTTGACATGGCTTTTGTGGTAAGTCAAGGGGGCAAGAACTCGGTGTTATCTTCTGCTGCCAAGAAATGGAAGGATTTCAACTCTACACTAACGAGGCATTTTATCCTTCCATACATCAAGGAGAGGGAGAAATTAAGCCAACCCCGTGAAATATATAAATTCATAGAGAAAGCAGAATAGGATGCCTTTGTAGCTTCAAGGTTATCCAAAGAATTTGAGTCTATGCATTCTCAACATTCACAGATTAGGGAGAAACTTGAGTACAATCATCGATTGTCTCGAAAGGATATGCTGGTTTGGAGGATCAATTGGAGGAAACCATGCCTGGGGTAGAAATTGATCGATCTACCTTATGGAAGAAAGCTAGACAGGACAAACGTGGTAACATCCCGGATCCAAAGGTGGCAGAGAAAGCAAAATTAATTGTAAGCCTACACACTCTGTTTTAAATTTTTATTAAACTGTGTATAATTCTTATTACGTCTTATGTTATATTTTGGCGTCGTGTGAATGATATTACTACGTCAAAATGTTTTAAAAAACGTCGTGAAAGGTCTAAATCTGGAATCACAGCTCTGTTTTTTGTAATTATAGCATAAGACATTGGTGGTTAATTTTTGCGTCGTGTGAATGATATTACTACGTCGAAATGTTTTAAAAAATGTCGTTAAAGGTCTGAATATGGAATCACTACTCTGTTTTCTGTAATTATAGCATAAGACGTTGGTGGTTTATTTATTGCGTCGTTTGAAACGAATAACCACGTTGTTAGTAACTACCGTCGTTATAAAATTATAACAACGTCGACTTCTATGTTATTGCGTTGTGTGAACTTTTATAATACGTCGTTTGTTTATAAATAACCGTCGTGTGTTTTCTCGTGCTTACTTTTTTATATATCTTTGTTTTAGGATGAATTGCAAAAACGAGTCTCGGAAGGCAGTCTCAGTGTATCTGGCAGCAATGATGTGTTGACCATGGCTTTGGGTCCCGAGCATCCAGGGAGAGTGAGAGGGGTAGGTGCTGGGATTTCCCCTAGGCAGTACTTCAATTTACCCAAACAACAGAGGATTAAGTTTGCCGATCATTTAAAGGAAGGTGTCAGAATTGTCCTTCAAGAAGAGACTAAGAAGATGGAAGCTAGGTCAAGGGAAGAGACTTTAAGGATGGAGGCTAGAACCAAGCAATTGGTAGAGGCTGAGAAGGAAAATTTACTGAGTCGGCTTTCCCAACTCATCTCTGTTTTTTTAAAAACTATTAGACGTCGTTATTATGAAGAAAACCGTCGTTTGAAAATCATACCACGACGATTTTATAAATAAACCGTCGTTTGTATTTCAATACCACGTCGTATTTAGTTTACTTGTTTTACACGCCATTAGACGTCGTACCTTTGTGGTTTTTGGACGACGGTTTTAGTCCTTACCGATGTAATAGACAAATCCCACGACGTTTATTATTTACCATCGTTTAATAATTTTAAGACGTCCATAATTCTTACATACCGTCTTATGTTATGCCTTACCACGACGTTTTGATTTAATTTTTTTACTTTATGTACAATCTGTCTTATATATTTATTACTTAAAACAGATTTAGAAAATCAAGATGAAGAAAAGAAAGAAGAAAAAAAAGATGAAGAGAAGAAGGAAGAAAAAAAGATGAAGAGAAGAAGGAAGAAAAAAAGATGAAGAGAAGAAGGAAGAAAAAAAAAGAAAAAAAAGATGATGAGAAAAAGGAAGAAAAAAATGATGAAGAGAAGAAAGAAGAAAAACAAGATGAAGAAAAGCATGACGAAGAGGTATATTCTCATAACTTTGCCTTTTTTATTTGTTTTTCAAATTTCAGACGTCGATATTTTTCTTTAAACCGTCGTTTGTTTTCAAATTAGACGTCGGAATTTGTTCCCTATGACGTAATAAATTATTCAACACGACGGTTTTTTATTACCGTCGTTTAAATTATTATCAGACGACGTTGTTTTATTTAAACTGTCGTTTTTATTGAATTACCACGTCATTTTATTTTGCTTTATTTCTTTAAACAGGGTACTGAAGTAGTTGATTATTCAAATGTGGAGGTGCCATCTTCCTTACAATCCCTTTGTCGTTATGTAGAAACGACACTAAAGCCTCAGGAGAAGATCATGACCTTCACAATTGAGAAGGAGGTGTTTGGTGCAGATCGCAGTACCTTCGTCTTGCATGAAGATATTACACAGTTAGCAGGCATGGAAGAAATTGGGGCTACTGTGGTTGCAGTATGTATGAGGTTTGTCCTTATCAAATATTTATTTCACACTCAAATTTGTGTTTGAAAAAAAAAACATTATAGCATAAGACGTCAGTGGTTTATTTATTGCGTCATTTGAAACCACTAACCACGTCGTTCTTTTTTTACCGTATTGATAAATTAGTTATAACGTCTGTTTCTATTTCAGTTCGTCGTGTGAAATTGTATAATACGTCGTTTGTTTATAAATAACCGTCGTGTGTTTTTTTGTGCTGACTTTTTTATATATCTTTGTTTTATATATTTAGGTGCTTATATGATTGTTTGAGAGAAGCAAATATGTGCAGCATGGTTGGCTTTATCGACCCTGCTCAAGTTAGTGCCAACGCTGGGTCACTAATTGACAGATCACGAATTGTAGCCAGTCGACTTCAGAAGACAGATGGTGAACAGATTTTCATGATGCCTTACAATCCAGGGTTAGTCTCCTTAAAAGGATTTTGTTTGTATGATTTTCACTAATTGACTGCGTATAAAACTATTTAACTAATTTTGTGCCGTTTGAAACATCTAACCACGTCGGTTCTTTATTTGTTGAGTCGTTTGAAACAACTAACCACGTCGTTAGTTAATTACCGTCGTGATAAATTTATAATGACGTCGATTGCTACGTTATTACGTCGTGTGAAACTATATAATACGTCGGTTTTTATAAATAACCGTCGTTTGTTTTCTTGTGCTGACTTTTTATATTAACCGTCGTTTTTTATGTTAATTTTGTGCAGCCGTCATTGGGTCTTGCTGATTGTGAGAGCAAAGAGGGAAACCGTCTATTTTTTGGATCCTCTGCTTGGAAATCGTGTGGTTGATGAGGAGGGCAAAAACATCGTGAACAGTGCTTTAAAAATTTATAATTCCCACATAGGCAAACCAGGCCGTAAAGCACCAATTTGGAAAACTCTGCCAGGCACACCAAAGCAACCCAACAGTGTTGAATGCGGGTATTATGTGATGCGCTTCATGAGGGACATCATCATGGATCCTTCCTTGGAGTTTGAGAAGAAGGTAAGAAGAAAATTTTCAGAAACATTTTATGTGGTTTTTTGTATTATCAACGACGGTCCTTTAAAATTACCGTCGTTGAATCGATATACTATGTCGGTTATGAAAAATAGCGTCATCTGTGATTGAATTTCTTTTTATTTTGTAAAGCTTAATAATCATTGTTTATGGATTGAAGTTTGCCAAGGGAAAAGAGCAAGCGCCATACCCCCAAGCAGCCATTGATGAAGTCCGGAATGAATGGTTTGCCTTCATATGGAGTAGAGGATTTTTGGAACACTTGATATTTTTATATAATGTACAAATTTTATCTATAATATATAATGTACAAATTTTGTCTATAATATATAATGTACAAATTTTGTCTATAATATACATCATTTTTTCCCTGAAAATTTGTTGAGGTTTTCATAATTTAAAAGAAAAAACAAATTGCGTAACCGACGTGTAATAACTTTCCAACGACATAATTATGTCAAAAACCGACGTAAAAGGATATTTAGACGACAGATATGACGTGGTAATTAAATTACACGGCGACACCTTTTTTGTTTAAGTCGTGATATACCATTTGTACGTCCATGGGACGTCGTTTTAATGAAAATTTCGCCATGGTTTTGCTTTTAAACGACGTCCTTTGAACAAGTAAGTCGTTTATTATATTTACAACGTCGTTACTTTCTTAAAGTGGACGTGGTTTGTTGTGTTTGTAGGAATATTTTATTTTATTTCATTCAAAATATTCATAATAAATTTAAAATAGATCAAAAAAATGCAACGTCAACTCCTATGAAGTCATTGATATATTTTCTTCCCCCTAAACCTTAAAAAAATTCAGTTTGAGTAATACAATTTTAAAACGACCAAACAAAAATAAATTGTTTTGATGAGTCATAACATCACTTATAGTTTGAGGTTTAGGGTTTAGGGTTGTTATTTATTAGGGTTAGGGTTAAAGGATAATTTTTGGGGTTTACGGTTTATGTTTGTTATATATTAGGCTGTAAAACCATAAACAATTTTATAAAATTATATTTTAAAAATATATAATTTAGAGTTTAGGGTTTAGGTTATTATTTTTTAACGACGGTGATTGAGTCGTGGAATATTGAGTTTACGTCGGATGGTGAAACATCCGCCATGATTTCTCTTTTAAACGACGTCCTTTTTACAAGTGAGTCATTTATTATTATTTACAACGTCATTAATTAATTAACCCCGACGTGGTTTGTTGTTGATATAAGAATATTTTATTATTTTTAATTCAAAATATTCAAAATAAATGTAAAATAAATCAAAAAATGCAACGTCAACTCCTATGAAGTCATTGATATATTTTCTTCCCCCTAAACCTCAAAAAAATGCAGTTTGAGTAATAAAAGTTTAAAATGACCACCCAAAATAAAATTATTTTGATGAGTCATAACATCACTTATAGTTTGATGGTTTAGGGTTTAGGGTTTGGGTTTAGGGTTGTTATTTATTAGGGTTTAGGGTTAAAGTATAATTTTTGGGATTTACGGTTTATGTTTGTTATATATTAGGCTGTAAAACCATAAACAATTTTATAAAATTATATTTTAAAAATATATAATTTAGGGTTTAGGGTTTATGGTATTACTTTTAACGACTGTGATTGAGTCGTGGAATATAGAGTTTACGTCGGATGGTGAAACATCCACCATGGTTTCTCTTTTAAATGACGTCCTTTTTACAAGTGAGTTGTTTATTATAATTTACAACGTCGTCAATTTATTAATCCCGACGTGGTTTGTTGTTGATATAAGTATATTTTATTATTTTTAATTCAAAATATTCAAAATAAATTTAAAAAAAATCCAAAAAATGCAACGTCAACTCCTATTGGTTCAATAGACGACGTGGTTTCTTCAAAATAAACGGCGTTATGTTCAGTGTTTGAGTCGTGGAATACTATATTTACGTCGGTTTTGGTAGAACTTTCGCCATGGTTTTTCATAGTTTTGACGACTTCTGTTTGATTTTGCGTCGTACATAGTTTTACCACGACGTCTTTAATGTAATAAGCGTCATGTTTAAAGTGAACTTTTAACGACGGTTGTTTTTTCCGTCGATGTTTTAAAGAGCACGCTTTCTAAAAATATTCGCGCGACCTAAAATTTTCAGATTTGGCTCTTAGTTTATACTTCTAACCCTGAACCCTAAAATTTTCATATTTCGCGCAACATAACATTTCGCTCTCTCACTTCATCTCTAATTCAAAGTTGGGCTCTCCAGGCTCTGTCGAATCCAAGTAGGCCATAATCTGTGAGCTCTGCCAACCTATAAGTACAAACCCTCTCTTCCCCTTGTAAATTCATTGAATGATATTAGATTGTTTTGTTAAAGGGTTTTAGATATATGTTTTGCGATCTGTTAATAATGTTGTTGGAGGTATGGGTTCATGGATTTTCTGTTTAATGTTTTCTTGATCACTCTCTGTTATGTTGAATAGGGAATGGATTTAATTTTGTCGGATCTTTTAATCACTCTCTGTTATGTTGAATTGGGAATGGATTTATTGTTTTCATGCTTAGTATATGTTGGTTTCATGTATATGTTGGTTTCATACTTGGTTTCATGTATATGTTGTGTTCTTAATAGAGTTTTGGGATCTTGAAAATAAACTGGGATATCGACGCGTTTTTAGGCATACGACGACGGTTTTTTCATAAACCGTTGTTTGTATTACTTATACACGACAGTGTTCTTTAACTACCGTCGTGGTTATAATTAGACGACGTTTGTTGAAAATCCGTTGTCTATATTTGTCAAATACGTCTGTTTTTGTTTAAAAACAGTCGTCTGTGTTGTATATTACTTGCTATTAGAACTTTATATAATCTGCTATAGTGATGGTCATTGCTTGTCTTTTCACTTTATTATATATAATAGGGTATAATGTCGGAGATGGATAAGTCATGGATGCACTCGGATAGAAGATCGAAGGCATATGGGTTAGGGGTGGAAGCATTTTTGAACTTTTCTATAGAAAATCTTCTAACTACAACACATATCCGTTGTCCATGTGTTAAATGTGTTAATTTGAAATTGTTTGGGGTTGAAATTATAAGGGATCACTTATACTTTAATGGAGTTGACCAAAGCTATAAGAATTGGACATTTCACGGAGAACCTTGGGAAGCAACTACTAATGCTAGTAGAAATGTTGAAGAAGATGATGACCATAGTAGGTACAGTTTTGTGTCTGAAGAAATAGAGATGGATGATAATGATTTTGGTGATTTTGGATATGATCCTTATGAGTTTGCCAATGTGATTGGGGATGGAGATCAACCATTGTACCCTGGTTGTAGAAAGTACACGAAGTTATCGGCATTAGTGAAGTTGTATAATTTGAAGGCAAAACATGGGATGAATGATGTCTGTTTTACAGAATTATTGATACTTCATGGCGATTTGCTTCCATAAGGAAATACAGTACCGGCCTCTATGTATGAGGCAAAAAAGACTTTGTGTGCATTGAGGCTGAGTTATGAGAAAATGCACGCATGCCCCAATGATTGCATCTTGTATAGGAAGGAGTATGAGGATTCAACTAATTGTCCTACTTGTGATATCTCAAGGTGGAAGGAAGGCAAAGATTCAATCTTGAAAGAGGGTGTGCCAGCGAAGGTGGTGTGGTATTTTCCTCCAATTCCAAGGTTTAAAAGGATGTTTCGATAACATGAGACAGCTAAGAGTTTGACTTGGCATGTTGCTAGAAAATCAATTGACGGTCAGATGTCTCATCCGGCGGATTCCCCGTCTTGGAAACTTCTTGACGATAAATTGCCCAAGTTTGGTAATGAGCCGAGAAACTTGAGATTGGCTCTTTCATCTGATGGATTCAATCCCCACAGTTCTCTAAGTAGCAGATATAGTTGCTGGCCAGTTATCTTAGTTACATATAATCTCCCTCCATGGCTGTGCATGAAACGAAAGTTCATGATGTTGACCTTATTGATTTCCGGTCCTAAACAGCCCGGAAATGATATAGGCGTCTACTTGGAGCCTTTGATTGATGATTTAAAATCTTTGTGGAATGGGATTGGAGGAGTGTATGATGCACATAATGGAGAATACTTTACACTCAGAGCTGCATTAATGTGGACAATTAATGATTTCCCTGCCTATGGAAACTTATCTGGTTGTGTTGTTAAAGGATATAAAGCTTGTCAAATATGCGGCGATGATACACCTAGTCACAGGTTGAAAAATGGCCACAAAATTTGTTACATTGGGCATAGAAAATGATTACCAATCAATCATCCATATAGGAGGCAACGTGCAGCTTTTAATGGGAAACCTGAATATGGCACGCCTCCCGAGCCATTAACTGGAGAAGAAGTGCTGCATATGGTTGAAGATGGTGACAGAGTTTGTTGGAAGAAGAAATCAATATTCTTTAATCTCGAGTATTGGAAATACCTTCCTGTGAGGCATGTCCTAGATGTTATGCACATTGAGAAGAATGTTTGCGATAGTATCATTGGTACATTGCTGGAGATCCATGGAAAAAATAAAGATGAGATTGCTGCTCGATTAGATTTATTGAACATGGGGGTCAAAACTGATTTGCAACCCGAGTATGGAGAAAGACGTACTCGTTTGCCTCCCGGGCCTTGGAATTTGTCAAGAGCAGAGAAGAGAGAGGTTTGCAATTCTTTCTGTGGTATGAAGGTCCCTGAAGGTTATTCTTCAAATATAAAAAATCTTGTATCTTTACAAGATTCAAGACTTCTTGGCCTTAAATCACATGATTGTCATACCTTAATGCAACAATTGCTCCCTGTGGCAATTCATTCTGTTTTGGAGAAGCCTGCAAGGTTTGCAATAACTCGTTTGTGCTTCTTCTTCAATGCTATATGTGCAAAGACTGTTTGTGTTTGCTTGAGAAGTACTTTCCCCCTTCATTCTTTGATATCATGGTTCATCTAGTAGTACATCTTGTCAGAGAAGTTCGTCTATGTAGGCCAGTATATTTTAGATGGATGTATCCGTTTGAAAGATATATGAAAGTGCTAAAGGGGTATGTTTAGAATCGTACTCGTCCGGAAGGTTGCATTGCTGAGCGGTATATAGCTGAAGAAGATGTAGAGTTTTGTACCGAGCATTTATCTGATGTTAGTACAGTTGGAGTGCCTTCAAGCCAAAAGATGGGAGTTTCAAAGCCATTATCAGGTTGCACAGTGAGCGTAGTTGATCGGAACCTGTTGAACCAAGCACATCTATATGTCTTGGAGAATACGGAGGAAGTCCTACCTTATATCGAGTACGTATGAGTTTTATTCTTTAAGTTTCCATTTTAAATTATTTCTTATGTTTATCTTATATGTTTGGGACCGTAATGCTTGAATTTTTTGTGTCATGTAGGCAACATATGATCCACATCAAGACCGCTTATCCAAAATTTAGAAAGAGAACAAAGTGGCTGCAGGATAAGCACAATAGCACTTTCATTCAATGGCTACGCTTCAAGGTATATGTTATTGAATAACATATTGGACTTTTAATTTTCTTCTTTCTATGTGAAATTGAATTAAGTTATGATTAATTTGTTGATTCAAAGTGAACTTAATGAGGAAGACAATCATGGCGTATCAGAAAATTTAAGGTGGCTAGCAGCTGGTCCAAACATGGCAGTGCCATTATATAGGAGCTATCTTATTAAAGGTATTAAATTCAACATCAAGGCACAAGATGATGTGCGGACAACTCAAAATAGTGGAGTTTATTTACTTGCACATACCATGCAAGTTGCTAGTGCCAAGGATAAAAACCCAATTCTCTCAAATATGGGTTTCTATGGTGTCATTCAAGAAATTTGGGACCTTGACTACCAAAAGTTTACAATCCCAGTCTTTAGGTGTGATTGGATAGATAGTACTTCTGGTCTTGTAGTGGACGAACTTGGATTTACCCTTGTAGATTTGAGTAAAATTGGACATAGGAATGACCAATTTGTTTTGGCTTCTCAAGTCAAACAAGTAATTTTTGTTGACGACCCGATGCATCGTGGTTGGTCGGTAGTGTTATCAATGCCTAATAGAGAATATAATGATGTTATTGGTGATGATGTCTTAGGTGATGTGAGAATTGAGTGTGAGCCATTTACTAGAGGGATGCCAAATGTTGACACATTTGATGAAGTGGTGGGTGAGTTAGGGAGTCAAAATATTCGAGATGGGTGTGAAGATATATGGATTGAATGATGCTTTATGTAATTGGCAGTGTATGACATTAATTTTGTAATATATTGTAATGTGATTTCTTCACTTTCATTATACAGGTTTTGGCCACAAAACAATCAGTACAAAAATTACTGGTTCCAGATTACAAACACGACGGTCTTGATAAAATGTGAAAAACAAACGTCTGTTCTAATAAAAAATGACGTTTTGGAGCATTCAACGACCGCAATATATTTACGGACGTCTTAAAGCAACGTAACAATGAAGAACCACGATGCTATTGTGAAACAATTATTCAGGTTAACACGTTGGAGAAGCATAAAGAACCGCCATGTAATTCAAAATAACACGACTCCAATCCCATAATACCGACGTCTAAAAGATGAGATATCTAACCTGAACGTTACAAAAGACGACGTCGTCATAAATTTACCACGTCGTATGTTCTTTCATAAACGAAGTGGAAAAGGATGAATTCACGACGGTATTTGAAGTCCATTGGTAAATTTGTCGACGTTAAGATATATGAATTAGACGACGTTAATTTTGTTAATGATGACGTATAAATTGTGAAACATGGCGGTCTTTTTCATGGTAACGACGTTGTATATAGACGACAACATCGTCGATATAAATTAATGTGTCGTAATTAATGACCCCAACATTTTTTCCACGTCGTTTATTTTCAGATCGTGTCATTAAAATTATTTTACATGGCGGTGGAATGAGAAACGATGCCGTTTCAGAGTCATTACACAACGATTATATTTCAAAATATGACGTATAAATTCTGTAATACGGCTCTCATTTATTTGGAACCGACGTTGTTTATGTATTTCAACGTCGTCTTTGTACATACATGCGTCGTAAGTAGTGATCCTAACATCTATTTCCGCGCCATCATTCATAGAAAAATCGAAGTGGAAAATTTATTTTACGACGGTTGTTGGAAATGTAGTGACGTAATAGGTGTCAATAACGTCGTCTATTATGTATTTAAAAACATCATATTTCTATTTGTCGTTAAAGGTTTATTTAACGGTGTTGAGTTTTAGTTCTTGTCGTTGTATGTGTATCTTGCGGCCATGTTCTGTTAATATATGTCATATGTTTCCTTTTTAACGACGTTTTTTTGTTAGAGTTGGTCGTCTATTCTCATCCTCGACTGTTTTTTTATGTCTTTTTGCAGTACAAAGACGTCGGTTTTTATTTGCTGATGACGTTTTTTGTTTTAACAATGACATGTATTTATCGTCGTGGTTTTGTTATGGAAAAGATGTCAGTGGATTCCACGACCATTTGAAAACTGAATACACGACAGTGAATTCCCGTCGTGTTTTTCCTTTTTGTAGTAGTGTTCGCTTGAAAATCTATTTGCTCGTGTTGCATCAATAAGGTTGACAGGACCCGCCCTGAGTTCCTCGGAATTCATGACGGATCCTGTGGTTTTTCCGACATAGCCTTTCTTCCAAATCAGAGGAGAGGGTCGAGACTTTCTGTCGAAATTTCGGCAGAGTCTCCCCTGAAAAACGGACTTGACCAAATTTTTCAACCTGTTAAAATGCAGTTTAAAATTCCCAAATCTCAGCATGCATAATCATAAGTAATTGTAAAGACTCAATCCACAATCATTCATCAATCTAAAACATGTTTCCGCCCCGTGACAACCACAAACCAAATTAAAGTCCAAAAATATGGTTTATCTTGCGGCTGCACATGGGTGAGACTCCATGATACCTACGTACCCTTATTGAGGGATCAAGCCACACGTAGTTCTTCGATCAATAGTCACGAATCAGATAACAGACAATTATTTTCAGTAATATCAACAAGTTAATTTTAGGATCATCTTTTCCTTCTTAATAAAATCACAATATGCTAAGCCTAATTCTTTAAACATTACTCCTTTCTCCCAATATAATATATTAATCCCTTTTCCACTCCTCGTTACTTTACCACACGATGGAGAGTCCAACGCCACGTGTAGTAAAGTAATAGTAATCAATATGTCCGGATCCTTTACCATATGCCAGAATAATCCAGCGCCACGTGTGGTAAAGTAACCAATATGCAAGTGAGCACACACACTGGAAACTCCAACGCCACGTGTGGCCCAAACAAGCCAAGTGAGCCCACACACCGGAAAATCCAACGCCATGTGTGGGTAAAGCAACCAATATCAAATGTGTCGAGGTTCTTTACACATAATTTCCATAAAATACTATATTCTACAATTAAAATAATAGACTTTCGTAAATACCCCGATATCACCCAATCCATGTACTTTAATAATAATCATAAAAATATTAAATAATGATAAATATTAACCCTTAGAGATTCCATAACCTCACTACCCAAATTAAATCAATTTTCAATCAAAACTCATTATGCGAGAAATTCCATATTAGAAGAACGAAGTACACTTAAAAACAAATGTCCATTCATTTTCTAATAATCATAGCCAAGACCCAAGACTCACTTTCACAACCCATCAATTAAGTATCCCATGCTCATCCATTTGTTGGTAATTTTTAACAACAATATTTAAACCTTGCAAGTGCACAAATCAAATGATAGTATAGTAAGCAAGCAAGGGTCATTCCCACAGAGATTGTAATCTAGAGAGATGTTTATTAATGTCACGCAACGAAAACACAAGGACTTCCACACACACGCCAACACCAAGGGGGGTTTTTATTTGATTTTGTGAATAAAACAAAATAAGGAAAACAAAACAAAACAGAATTTAAATTAGAGTTTAAGAGAAATTGGTTTATAATCAATCAAGAACAATAGCTAGGACTCACTATCCACCTCTAACCAATCAATCAATTCATAAACAACAATAGATAATCAATTTCTAGCAATCATATGATGACGACACTCACAACAAGATCATGGCATTTGACTCGAGTTGTATGATTCTCTCTTAAGTGCATGTAAAGTGTATGGCATTTACATCAATACGTGTATTCTTAATTGAAATCTAGTATGGCATTTACTCAAATTAACAATCAAGAATCCATTAAGATCAAAGAGAATATGAGTGTCACAAAAACCCTAAAACATGGCATTTGTTATTAGGAATTCAAGAATCGATTTCTCATAACTAGTTCTTAACCCAATTATTCGTTGCAAACAAGAACACATTCAATATGGCAATTGACCTATGTTCTACAACAATTTAATTCCAATACATGCTTCAAAGTTAGCTACTCAAAGAAACAAAATATCAGAATTCACAAAACATAGAGAAACCGAAATCATCACACTTGTAGAAACTGAAAATCCATTCAAACTTGTTTATAGAATTGAAATCATGTTTAGGGCTTCAAGATTAAGCCCTAACTAACAAGAAATTAGTTACTCATGCTCTTGGATGAACTCAAAAATAAATACATAAGAACTGAAACTTAAAAGGAGAAAGGAAAAGAAAGAACTCGTTGGCAGCTTTCTCCTCTTGCGCGGTTGATCCCTTTTGGACGTGAATACTCTGTATCGGGGCCTTGGCTGGCCTTTTATATCACTTATATCAAAGTTATAAACCCTAAAATTGACTGAGAGTCGTCCAAGAAGTCTTGGTAAACAAGGAATCCAAATAGGAAAGTAAAAATCACAATTCCTAACTCCACAGGGAAATACAGCTCAGCCCAATTGTCACACGATTTGGGGATCTTCGGCCTTGTAGAAAAATCATTAAAAATATATTTTAGAAAGATAAATGTCTTATCTTTCCAACCATATATAGCACGTAACTTGGAAAATTCGGGAAGGCTTCCGTTCTTCACATTCACGTAACATGTACGAAACTGTCTTGTCTGCACGTGGGCTAACTTTACTTGTAATACTGTACCAATTGGCTTGGTAGAAAATTCTAGAAAAATCACAGATTTAACTTCAAGATGTTAGCTTTCATCTCCAATTGGCCTTGTGCTAAAATTCCTCCAAAAAGTTGATTTTTCCTTAAAAACCTTCTAAGAGCGCAGAAAAGCTGAAAATCAGAAAAGTAAAGTAGTAAGCCCTTTTTAAATCTAATTTTCCTACAAAACCTAAGTAAAAAGAGTACATAAATGAGTATATTTATGGACTTATCAAAATACCCACAACTTAGATTTTGCTAGTCCTCGAGCAAAACAAAACGGAAAATAAAAACAAAAAAACAACGACTCAAAACAAACAAACAACTAAATTCCCAATATTGATCTCAGAGATAATCATCAACGGTTAACTCACTTCCAAGAAATAAGCAACATTAACTCAGACATTATCAAAGGGTTAACCAAACTTTAATTGAACAACTTGGAGTGTCACGTGTGAAATAGCCAACATTAATATAACCATGACTTAAGCTTCACAAGAGTTAAGTAACCAAATAAGAACAACCTTTAACTTCAATTCTCACCAAGGATGTTTACTCCAATGAAAACACTCGAAATTTGACTAGGTAATGTCATTCATGTATGTGAGAAGAATCAAAGCAATAGGATGTACTCACATAATTGAAATAAAAGCACAAGACATGAATAAAAGATCTCATGGGAAGATATCGCATACTTGAAAATATTTAAACCATCCGACTATAGTCCTTCCACACCTATTCTCCACATGAGGAACCACACTTCTCCTTGGATCAAGTAGGACTTTCACTAAGGTTGAAATAGGGCTTAGGGTGATGGGTGAAACAAGAAAAAGATATGGATGAACAAACGAAGTCTAAGGGCTAAGTAAAGCTTTCCATGAAATTATAACATCTTGCACTTTAGCACACAATTTTATCTTGATACTGTCTTAAATATATATATATTTTTTCACTTTTTTTTTTCTAACTCCATTAGCTTTATTTTTATCTTGATACGACAAGAAGTCACAACACAAAGGAGCCAGGACACTCTCAATAATATGGCAGCCATGATGCAATGGTAGGTCAACAGGCAGTTCAGGAAGGGCCGTGAGGCTGCCATAGCCAGAATTTCAAATCCGGATGCTGTAGTCCAGCAGCTAGACCTTCCCTATGGTCCCCCACCAGGATTGGCATGGCCATATCAAGAGAATCCTCTTATTGCACAGATAGCTAGGATGCCAGAACGTGGGGAAATTCAGGCTGGACAAAGGGGAGGAGCCCTTCCTGTCGAAGAACGTGAGGCCCCAGCTCAGCCAGAAGGCCCTGCACCAGTTCAGATCCAACAGAACCAGCCAGAACCTCACCTTATTCCACAGGATCAACCTTTGGCACTTCTGCCTAAGCCACCAGCAGTGTTGCCTTATAGACCCAGAAGGATGGATCCCAATCCATTCCCTCCACCTACAAGAGGCAGAAGAGGCGGAAGGGGTAATAACATTTTTGCCAACAATGACAAGAACAGGCTGGGGGCAAACTGGAGGAACAATCCAGATTTGAAAGAACAGGAAGAACACAAGGAGGAAGTTCTGCCCAGGCCATACAGAGCGGAGCCCAGGATTGATCACGCCCAGCCAGAACATGGGTGAAATCCTCACCCTGTCAATGCTCTGAATGACGTGGGGGCATTACAAAGGATGATCAGAGAGATGATGGAGCCTGAAGCCAGAAGAGGAGAAAGGCCCACCTATAGGAAGCCATATCCGGCTTATATCGATCAAATACCTCTATCCCCGGGTTTTAAGGTGCCAAACTTCACCTTATTCAACGGAGAGGATCCCCATGCTTCATCAGTTGAGCACATAGGCAGGTTCTCTGTCCAGTGCATAGCCATAGAGAACAATCCTCTTTTGAAGTTGAGGCTTTTGGGAATTCTCTCTCTGGACAAGCTTTTACTTGGTACACCAACCTGCCAGCTAATTCTGTTCAAACCTGGGAGCAGATGGAAAGTGTTTTCCACGACTATTATTACAGGATTCAGCCAGAAGTCACCATCAGTGACCTTGCTGCCCTCAAACAGAGTGAAGATGAACCTGCTCAAGACTTCATAACCAGGTTTAGGAAGCTCAAAATGAAGTGCCGAATCCCTATGGAAGAAAGACACTTCATCCAGATGGCTCAAGATGCCCTCAAGATCTCTCTAAGAAAAAGATTCAAGTATGAGGATGCTGTTTGGAGACCTGGCAGAATTGGCAGATAAAGCATCCAAGTATGAGGAACTGCTTAGGGAAGAACAGCAGAAGAGGAACTCATCCAAAGGCACGTATTACAAGTCACCTTCCTCTTCAATACATCTGGTTCAGGTGGAATCAGAAGAGGAAGCAGAATGCTCAGAGGAGGGAGAAGTTGCAGTAGCAGAAATGGCAAAATTGAAACATCCCATCACCTGCAAGGCCCTTACTAAGCCACCAAAGGATCAGAAGCCACCACCTTTCACAAGAGGGTTTGTTTCGAGCAAACCAACACAGAAAAAGGTTTATTCCTTTGATCTAACCAAGGTGGATGCTTTATTTGATGAAATGTTGCTGCAAAAGGCAATAGAGACACCCCACAGGATACCCAAGCCAGAAGAGCTCAGGGGCAGGCAGTATTGCAGGTGGCACAACTCTTGGAACCATTCTACCAATAGTTGTGTAGTTTTCAGAGATGTTATATAGGTAGGAATAGCAACAGGAAGGTTGAAACTGGCGGAGAAATCTCCTTCAGTCACAACAGATTCTTTTCCACAACCACAAGTCAACATGGTCAACTTGAATTGGCCATAACAGAAGAGAAACAAGCCAACGACAGAAGCCAGTTCCAGCAGAGGCAGAATGGTTTCAAGGGAAACTATTGAACGGCCAAAAGCAACTATCTCAGCTAGAGTAGTGCTTTGCAGCAAGTGCAAATGTGAAGCTGAGCTAGAAGTGGTCCTGGACAGGCAGAGTCAGCCCATTCCGAGTGCTTTTTGATAGGATTGGAACCTCATCCCAAGATAGAGCTAGGCGGAAAGAGTATCCTAGACCAGCCCAGCACAGCAGGAGGATGACAGAGCAGCCCAAGAAGGAAATATCGATCAAGATGCCCGGAAATGAGAAACCTCTGGTTGCTATCATAGAAGGAAGGTGGTATGCTGTCGGGAAAAGTGGCAGACCAACTATGGAATTAACCAGAACCCAAAGAGGAGGGTTCAAAGGCAATACTGCATGTTCCTCAAGAACAAAAGTGATGCACAGGCACCTCTGGAGATCACTTCTGGCAGAAAATGGGAAAGATCAGGAAATACTTCCCATGCAGAACAAGTAATCCAGCCACAGAAAATGTTGAAAGCTGGATCTCCAGTTAAGCCTTCTATCCATCTTGCTTCATCCTCAGACAATCAATTTAAACCTTCACAGATACAAGGAGAATCTGGACTTATTCCAATAGAAGGGCCAGAAGACTGGACTGAGGGAAATAAAGAGGAGCAGCTAGATTATGAGCCATCTTCAGATGACCAAAATGCACTCCTCGAAATAGGAGAACAGGAAGACTGGACAGAAGGATTCGGGGGGGAACACATGGAATATGATGGGGAATTAGATGCAGAAACCGAAGCTTTTGGTGCAGAATTGGAAAACCTGTTGCAGGGTGATTTGGGCATCAACATGGTGTTTATTCTGCCAGAAAAGTTCAGAGTTGCAGAAGGACAAGAAAGCACTCTGGAGGGAGATGTTTTCTCCTAGGAAAGTTTCAAATGCAGGTTGGCAGAGGCAGAAGAGACTCCAGAACAGCAAGCAGGCAATCCCAGGACATAAGGAACTGACAACAAGCTGGCTGCAGACCAGCTTTTCTTCTCCAAACCAACCAAAGAGATGACAAACCACCTCAGACCCTTATTTATAACAGCAAACTTTGGGGGTGTTCTTATTCCCAAAATCATGGTAGATGGAGGTGCAGCCATCAATCTTTTGCCTCACAAAATGCTGAGCAAAATGGGCAGAACAGAGAAGGACTTGATCCCAACACGCTTAACCGTCACCAACTTTGCAGGGGCATCACCAAAACTCATGGGATCCTATATGTGGATGTCATAGTTGGAAGCAAAGAGCTGAAGATTGCATTCTTTGTGGTAGACACCACTTCCACCACCTATAATGCACTACTTGGCAGGGACTGGATTCACCAGAGTTCGTGTGTTCCCTCCACTCTTCACCAGCAATTAGCTCTGTTGAATGAAAAAGGTTACATGGAGATAGTAGAGGTCGATCCAAGGCCATTTCTGCCTTTTGCCATGTGTTTTGAGGCAGGGTATTACCATGATGACCTCGGTCCTTTCACTTTCCTTGGAGTCAACCAGAACGGCCGTCCCCATGGTGTCAAAACCCAGAAGCTCATTGAAGATGGTCTAGCTAGTTCCTTAGAAGACTGGAATAGGCCTTTTGTTCTAAACCTCCAGAACTTTGATGTTTAGTTCCTATCAACAAGAAAAGGATCGAGCTGCAACAATCCGATCCATTACAAAAAGATTGTTGATATATTGGGAGGAAAGGAAGCTCTTCATGCAGGATCCAGCCATCAATATGGCAGAATTCACTCATGAGAGCACAGAAGACTAGGAGGAAGAAGAGTTACAGGAGGAAGTGTTAGATTTTGTGCTAGCAGCACCGGATGACTCTCTGCCAGAAGTGGAAGATCCTTTACTGGAAATAAACTTAGGGACAAAAGAGGATCCAAGGCCTACTTTTATTAGCGCACTATTGAAAGAACCGCTCAAGAGTGAGCTCATTGCACTGTTGCAGGAGTTCAGAGATTGTTTTGCTTGGCATTATCATGAAATGCCAGGTCTAGACAGGGAATTAGTGGAGCACAAGCTGCCAATCAAAGAGGGATACCTTCCAGTCAAACAGGCCAGAAGAAGAATGTCCATGGACACAGAACTGAAGTTTAAAGAAGAAATAGAAAGGTTGCTCAAAGCAGGATTCATCAGACCAGCCATCTATGCTGATTGGCTAGCTAATATTGTACCAGTTCTGAAAAGAAAAACTGGGGCAGTCAGAATATGTGTGGATTACAGAAATCTAAATGAAGCTTCTCCCAAGGATGAGTACCCTATGCCAATGGCAGACATGCTAGTAGATGGAGCTGCTCACAACCAGATGCTATCGTTTATGGATGGCAATGTAGGTTACAATCAGATCATGGTGGCAGAAGGAGACATCCACAAGACAGCCTTCATGTGTCCAGGAGATATAGGTGTTTTTTAGTACACTGTAATGCCTTTTGGCTTAAGAAATGCAGGGGCTACTTATCAAAGGGCAATGAATTCTGTCTTCCATGATATGATAGGACATTCTTTGGAAGTGTATATCGATGATGTGGTGATTAAATCCCCAGAAGAGGGAAACCACATACCAAATCTAAGGAGGGCATTCCTAAGAATGAGGTAGCACAAACTAAAGATGAACCCAAAGAAATGTGTTTTTGGAGTTCAAGTAGGAAATTTCCTAGGATTCTTGGTCCACCAGAGAGGCATAGAAATCGACAAAAACAAAGCAAAGTCCATCATAGAAGCTCTGCCGCCTAGGAACAAGAAAGAATTGCAGAGTCTCTTAGGAAAAATTAATTTTTTAAGGAGATTCATATCCAATTCTGCAAGAAAGATCCAGCCTTTCTCCTCTTTGTTAAGATTGAAACAAGAACAGACCTTCAAGTGGGAAGAACAACCAACAAGCTTTTGAGGAAATCAAGCATTACCTCTCAAATCCACCAGTTCTGTCCCCACCAAAGAGAGGCAGACCACTCAAGCTCTATGTATCTGCATCAGAAGTATCCATTGGGAGTCTGTTGGTTCAAGATAACAAGGAAGGAAAGGAACAGGCAGTCTACTACCTGAGCAGAACTCTGACAGAGGTGGAAAGAAAATATTCTGCAATTGAAAGACTTTGCCTAGCCTTGTATTTCACTACTGTGAAACTCAGACACTACATGCTGCCATACACCATCTACATCATTGCCAAGACAGATCTGATCAAGTACATGCTAACCAAGCCAATGTTGAGAGGCAGAATTGGAAAATGGACCTTGGCCTTGACAGAATTTGCCTTCAGGTATGTTCCTCAGAAAGCTGTCAAGGGACAAGCTGTGGCAGACTTCCTAGCAGATCATCTTGGAGAGGAGATTGAGAACATGGACTCTTTGGAAATAGCAAATGCAGATCTATTAACTAGAGCTCACACTTGCTTTAACAATCCTATCTATTCAGTTCATCTCACACCTTGGAAGCTGTATTTTGATGGATAAAAAACAGATATAGCTTCTGGGGCAGGGATTGTTTTGGAAGAACCACTTGGAATCAGACACTGTTATTCTTTCCAGTTAGATTTCCAGTGCACCAACAACAGGGCAGAATATGAAGCTCTAATCATAGGATTAGAAATGCTGGTGGAACTAGGAATCCAATCTGTGGAAATCCTGGGAGATTCAATGCTGGTATTAAAACAGATTGCTGGGGAATACAAGTGTCTTAGTCCTTCTCTAGCTGTATATTTAGTGGCAGCTAGGAATCTTCTGACAGAATTTAGAAAAGCTACTTGGGAACACATCCCAAGGGAGGAAAACTGTGCAGCCAATGAACTGGCCCAAGTAGCAACAGGTATACAAATGCCTAAAGACTGTGTACAGAGGATCATCAAGGTGGGAAAGAAAAGCCTGCCATCAGTTTTGACCAGGGGGATGGAGATAGATGTCAATTCTGCCATAATCATTGAAGATGATTGGAGAAATCCTATCATAACCTACTTGCAGTATCCAACCTTACCTTCTGAAAAAAGAGTCAGAATCATGGCTTTGAACTATCTTATGTGGAATGAAGATTTGGTCCGAAAGAGTAAGGATGAGGTGCTTTTAAGGTGCCTCAGAAAGAAAGAATACATGAAAGTCATGGGGGAAATTCATGAAGGAATCTGTGGAGCCCATCAAGGTGGGAGGAAAATGTGCTGGTTAATTAGAAGGTATGGCTACTTCTGGCCAACCATGATGAAAGATTGCATTGACTATTCCAAGGGGTGTGAGTCTTGTCAAAGACACGGCCTAATCCAGCAGACTCTTTCAGTTCTCATGAATCCAGTGGTAAAGCCATGGCCCTTTCGAGGATGGGCAATGGACCTCATTGGCAAGATCTATCCAGCCAGCAGCCAGCAGCATTGTTTTATCATTGTTGCCACAGACTATTTCACTAAGTGGGTAGAAGCCAAGCCTGTTAAATCCACTACATCCCAAGAGATCATCACTTTCATAGAATAACAGATTATACAGAGATTCGGCATCCCAGAATCAATCACAACTGACAGAGGATCTTCTTTCATATCTGGAGAAATGCTGGATATGGCAGAGGCATTCAAAATCAGGCGGCTTCAATCCACTCCTTACTATGCTCAAGCTAACGGGCAGACAGAATCAAGCAACAAGGTAATCATCAACATTATCCGAAAAATGCTTGAGAAGAATCCAAAGCAATGGCATGAGAAGTTGTCAGAAACTCTGTGGGCATATAGAACTTCAAAGAGAGAAGCAACTGGCATGACCCCTTACGCTTTAACATATGGCCATGATGCAATTCTGCCTATGGAGATAGCTGTTCAGTCCCTCAGAATTGCTCTCAAGCCATTCTGCTAGAACTAGAAGGATTGGATGCAAGCAGAATTGACACCCTCAATAAACTCCTGGCAGGAAAGCAAGTTGTGTCAAGGGCCTATAACAAAAGAGTCAAGAACAAGAGTTTTGAAGAGGGAGAGATAGTCTGGAAAGCAATTCTGCCCCTTGGAACACATGTAGCTGGTTATGGAAAGTGGTCACGTACGTGGGAAGGCCCTTTCATAATTAATCAGATCCTTGGAATGGGGGCATACAGGTTGCAGGATAGAGATGGAGAAATTCATGCTGCCCCAATCAATGGCAAATGGTTAAAGAAGTTTTATCCAACCATGTAGGATTCACAGGCTATACAAACAGATCCTGGGATAGAGAAGGGGCAGCACTAAAAAGCTTTTATTTCTGTTTAGAGTCATCTTTGTTCTAAGTTGTTTAAAGTTTGTTCCTTTTGTACTTCTGTTTATTTCATCAAAAGAAATTAAACACCCAAAAATTGCAACAAGGAAAATAAACTTTATTTAAAATAAATAGCCATGAGGCCTTCACCATGGCAAATTGTTCATCATGAAGAAAAAACTAAAAGGGTAAATAAATAACAGAATCAGAACCCTAATTTCTTGAGGGTTTCTTGCAAGTTGGTCTTCTTAATGGAGAGTTCCTTTTGAAGCAGCACCCCCTGATGAATTGAAGCCTCTGCAATCGCCAAGGCTGGCATGGAAGCTTCAACCATGCTCTGGACAAAGAAAGTAGCCTTGGTCTTGGAGCTCAGTCCAGCCCCGAGCCTGTTCTACACCTCCCTGCATTCTACCAGTTGCTTCTGCAGCTCCTCAATATGTTTTTCCAGCTTGTCCGCAGTGGACTTAGCCTCCTTGTATCCTGCCACCGTCTGGTCCAGCTCTGCCTTCTGCTTTGAAAAATCAGCCAGATTGGCTTCGTGATTAGCCTTGCAAAATTCAGAAGTCTTGAAGGAGGGCTTGAGATCCTCATAACGATCATGGAGGTTGAGCACATCTCTTGCCAGGCCAAGACTCATCTCAAGTATGGGTTTGGGGGCCACATTCTGTCTGTGCAGCAGGTCCAGATCCTTCATCAGCTGGTCAATGGCTTCCCTATCATTCGACTCCAGTTCATTAGACTACCAGATCTTCAGCCTCTCCATAGCCTCCGTCACTGCCTTGGATTTTGCCTTACTTACAGGAGAGCTAAGCATCTCCAATCTGTCTAGTTGGGCATCTAAGTCCAGGGCTTCAAACTCTGCCATGGGGAAGGCTGTCGCAGATGAACCTAGAAGGGAATGAATAGGCATCTGCAAAAGGAAGCATAAGTCAAGACCAGATAGAAACAAAAAGAAAAACCCAAAAATATAATGAACACTTATAGCAACAATTGGGGGCTTCAAGGGGCTAGTCACCACTGACAGGGCACTTCTACCTGAAAAGACTATAGCGATTAAAGAAGCAGAAAACAGAATAGAATTGCAGAAAATGTGAGCAGAATTGGAAGAAAAATTACCATAACTTCAGGAGCAGAGGTCCATAGGTTCTGATATAGATTGTCCTGCCTGTTCCTCAGCCGCTGGAACAGCAGTAGAGTGTTCTGCCTCTGGATCCTCAAACAGGGCCAGCTCTGAGCTAGTCAGTCCTGCCCTTGTATCTTCTTGTTGTTTCTGAGCCAGCGCAATACTCTCTGCTATCACCTCAGCAAGAATTTCCTCCTACAGATGGACAGAAGTCAGGACAGAAGGAATAAAAGACAGCAGAAACTGATACAACCAGAAAAACAAGACTCACCTTTTCTTCCATTATCTTAGCCTTCTCTTGAGGCCCCTCTCCTACTTCTTCCAACTCTTCCAGCTCTTTCTCTTGCTCCACAGCCTCAAAAGCCTCTCTCAGCTCTTCATCCGTGTCTGATGTGGCGTTGGGAGCTGCTGCAGTTTCTTCTGTGGCCACATATTCCACCACCGTCCTCTTTCTAAGCCTTTTTGACTTAGAAGGAGGAGGAGAAGGACCTTCGGCTAAAATAAGAAGAAAATAGGCCATTAGAACATAACATAACTAAGAAAATTGTCAAAATTCACCTGAAGTCGCAGGTTGAGTAGTCTCCTTTCTTTTCCTTCTGACAGAAGGAGTGGCCTCAACGGGAGTCTGTTCTGCTTGATATTCTTCTTCCTCTTCCTCTCCAGAAGGAAGCTCCAAGTCCCCAGCATTTATGACAGAAGTAACTGCACAAGAAATGACAATTTTAGAAATCAATCCAGCAGGAAAAGGTAGAAGGAACAGAAGGATAGAAAATTTACCAAACACTTCTCCAGCCTGGGAAGACTGACCACCAACATTCTATGTCAAAGAAGGATCTGTTGCAGACAGAACAAAGTGTTAGATATCACCATTACAAAAAAGAATAAACAGAACAGAACAGACATAATTGAGACGGATATAGGGCGTCTGCACTGTTGTTTATCTTGTTCACTGCACACCTGGCATCCTTATGCACCTCCAGGCCATCCAGGTCCCTCCAAAAAGAAGCCCGATTGCAGCTCCTATAGGATTTGAGTGGAATAAGCTGTGGGCAGCCAAGCTGCCTTGCACAAAAGTTGGGGTGATACACTTCTGCCCCCAGATGATAATTGGGAGGCTTCCCACCTCCATGGGGCAGGTCTCTTGGGAGGGTCATACTCAGGAACTTCTTCCTGAAATATATTCTGGCTGCTTCTTCTTCCGGCTCTTTCTCAAACAAACGGTATCTAGGCTGGAACCAAAGATAGGTTCTCCTGATCACCACTTGTCACTGAGCTGCTGATCTCTTCGTGCAGTGCCTGAAGAACATCAGGTATTCTTCAATAGAACGCTTGGGCACTTCTGCCGACATCAATGGTTGAGCCAGAACCTGATCCTCAGGCAGAACTATGTCTGGGAGCCTCAATTCAGGGAAATAGACATGCAACCAGATCTGGATCATCCAGAAGGCACCGGGAGCAGACAGATTCAACGGATTCTCCAATGTAGCAGTATGCAGGTTATTGAATAGATGAGCCAGAACTGAAGGCCCGAGTCCGACATCAGTATGGTTGTCCAAAGCTTCTACCAGGTGTCTGTACTCAACATATGTTGCTGGTCCTTGTCCTTCTCAGCACTGAATTTTCTGAGATAATTGGAGAAGGAGCAATTCTGGTTGATCAGGGCTGGAGAGATGGTGAATGGCTTGGCTAGCTTCTGCTGATTTTTCTTCCTGTGATAATCACCAACAGCATCAACAGGTCTCCCATGGGGCCTAAACCCGAATATCTGAGCCATATCCAGCAGAGTTGGAGCCATGGGGCCTATGCGAAAGTCGAAAGTGTTACTGGCAGAATTACAGAAACACAGAGCAGCAGCAAGCAGGTACACATCTCTGTTGACAGATTGCTTGGACAGAAGTATGACATCATAAATACCAGCCCGCTTCCAGTGAGGTCCATATCTTGGAAGAAGCCTGTCAATCCAGTCTACCCATTTCACTGAACTGTTTCTCACTTCGCTGGACGGGAAGGACCGGCTCAGATTCTTGCTAACCCAGGAATGAGAAGCCAGAGCAGAAGTGCTCTCAAAACATAAAGGAGCCTCAGCATCCTTCTTCATCAGTTCTGCCATCTCGGGAGGCCTCAGCACCAAGGTATTCTCGAACAGATGAAGGACATTCTCATATAGGTTCTTCTGGGCAAAAGGATGGAGCTTGCTCCAAACCTCTATCGCATGTTTGTCAATCCCAGTCCCAGTAATGTAATCGGGAGGAACTGGAACAGAGGAAGACTGGGCACGGGATTTTGGGCAAGACATTTCTCATGATTGTTCTTGTTTTAGAAAAGGGAAAGTTGATAGGAAAGGCAAGGCAGGTTCTAGCAAAGAGAGAGTTGTCGAAGAGAAGCTCAAAGAAGTGAAGTCTGGAGTACTAGGTTTTCGGATGGACAGGAACAGTGGGTTTTGAATTTCTTTTAAAGAAGCTCGAAAACGTGGGAAAGAGAAGACAGGGACGTGGAAAAAACAGGGCGTCATCTGATAAATGACTAGCTAATAAAGAGCAAGTAACTGAACAGTTCCCCACGAACTCTAGCTCAGTGGGAAGACGTGGCAGACGTGGGATAACGGAACAAACTGGCACGCGCCAATTTAATGGCCAATTCATTTAAGTCTGAAACCGTTCCAAAAACGATTCAGACTTATGGGGCATTGTTTGGGCCTAAATTAGCACACCCAGCCCAACAAGAGGAAACCCAAGATCCAGAAAGGCCTAGCCCAAACCAGACCAATAGACTCGGACCTTAAAAGAAAATCACCTCTTGGGCTCCAAACAAAATGAGCCCAACACGATTTGGATAAAGAAGGGGACCTATCCTAGAACCCACGTGACATCTTTGTATTATCAGGTTTGGAAAAGTCAACAAAACCAACTAGCACAGAGTTGATAAATGGAAGGGTCAGTGGCTGGCAAACTGGAAGAGACACCTCTGAAAATCTGAAGATCAAATCCCTCTTACATATATATATATATATTCATAGATTTTTTCTACTTTACAGAGAAGGTGATTCTCCCAAGAGATAAGCAAGCTACAATCTCAGAAAGAGATAAGCAGGAAAGCAGGGAGTTGTTCAAACTGAAGAAATCAAACTAACCATCACGGATGAAATCTCACAAGGGGCAGTTAAAATTGGGAAAGGAGATTAGGTTCTTTTTCTAGAAAAACAGGGAAGTGATCTTAAGAACTGACTATTGAGAGCTTATCTACCAGAAATTGATCAAAACCCCCTTTTATTTACAATTAAAAATGAAAGATCTTTTTAAAGAAATTGCCGCCCATTATTTAAAAAGAATTGCCCTACTCCAGATAACATCTCTTATAAATACAAGAAAGAGTGAACAGGGCAAGGGACTCAATTCAACAACAATCAATCCAACACTCAAGTCATCAATCAAACAAACAACTCAAAATCAACCAGAAGCTCACTTGAATTCCAAGTGAAAACCAGCTTTAGATCAGAATTCCCAAGGTTCAGACTTAGAAAATAAGTCATTCAAAACGAGATTTCTCTTGTTACAAATTTGGTTCAGCAAAAAACCAAGACAGGTAGAGCTTGAGCTTTTCCCAAACATGAAAACCTCAACAAATTTTACAGTGCAATCTCTAGCCCACTGAAGTCCTCGAGAACAGCCACTTCTGCCCTTACAGACTAAAGAAGCCGCAGTTCTGCCCACTCAGAAGCCTCACAAAAGCTTGAAGTGTATTAAAGCTCTGCCAAAATTAACCTTTGGTATCGATCTACAGCTAAAGCTTAGCAGCAGAAGTTGTTAACAGTCCAGTCCAACCCAGATATTTCCAGTCCAGCCCGGATCAGAACCCTCTATCCAAGTAGAAATGGAGTTCCAACTGTCCTTTCTTCTTTCTAGCTTGGATATTTATGTTTATAGTTTTGTAAAAGGCAGTTTTGCCTAAGACAGCTTAAATTCCATCAACCATTCTGGCCAAAACAACCTCTTTATACTGAGATAAATTGTTAAAGTCCTCACCAATCTGAGGCAAGAAAAGAACTTACTTGGGAGATATTCCTCACCCAAATTCACAATCGCTTGTTTATGGAAATCAGTAACTTGGAGCGCAAGTTATCTATTCTAGAATAAGTCTGCTAGAATCTTCATTGCTAGCAGTGGCACGCTCATACACCAAACAAAGCTGACTTGCTGACCAGCCAATGGTTCACAAGGCAGTGGGGAACTTTGCCCTTCCACCACAGGAGTGATCACAACACGGGTGAACAGGTACCGGTCTTGTGGCCAATGGTGGCCGGACGTGGTGGTTGTCGCCGGTCAAAGGACCGGTGCTGTTTTGGTCGTGAGGGAGGAGAGAGACGTTGGGAGAGAAGAGAGAAAGAGGGAGAATGAAAATCTGCTGGACTTCAAATATTTATGGTTGTGCCATTGCACTTCCGTTGATCATAACTTTTTTGTTACAACTCCGATTTGAGCCCACTATGCGTCTACGAACTCGTATCGACGCGAACTATGTCATGGTGCCATTCAACTCCCAAAAATCCTACCGGATTAAAAAGTGACCAAAATAACCCTACCTTCGAGGGCAAATTTGTAATTTCATAATTAAATAAATTAAATAATTTAAATGGACAATAAAATAAGGTCGGGGTTCACCTTGTGAGTTGTCATCTGTATATCTTGAATTTTCTTAGCTTTGCACACCTCCTGCTATAATTTCTTATAGCTAGCAGCATTACATTCATATGCACATGCCAATTGATGTTCGTAAAATATAAAGATAATTGCTATATTTACAGAATTTCAAAAATAAAATTTCACTATAAATTGGAAATAAATACAATTAAATATCGACAAGGTAAATGTTAAGAATACTTTACAGATGATCGAGTCTAGAACTTGGTTCTATCTCCTTAAGATGAAATTGTCTTCTCATAGGTGCTTTTACAATTTGCTTGACAAACGTCTCTCAGGATACAACGATTGACTTCTTGTTGAAGTAGCACTATAATCCCCAAGAAAGGCGAACTCAAACTTGTGTATGAATTCTCTCTTACTAACTCACTATATTTCTAAAAATATATGAATGCTCTAAAAACTACTATTGTTGGATGACAATTGGATGAATGAAATGTTGCAGGACCTTCTCTATTTATAGGCAACAAGGCCTCTGTTTAGAAAAGATGTGACTGAAAAATATCAACAAATGCGTCTTTTCATGTTGCATCCATAAGCCAAGAAGTGCAATGTTTCAATTACTATGAAACAATGCAACTTAAGCCAAGAAGTGCAATGTTTCAATTTCTGTGAAACAATGCAACTTTTCACATATGAAACAATGCATCTTAAGCCAAGAAGTGCAATGTATCAATTTCTATGAAACAATGCAACTTTTCACATAAAGTATTATTATTTTTATTCATAAAGAAAATAAATAATATTTTATTTTTCCTGATTAAGAACATGACTATTCCCAATTGATACATACCAATTCGTAAAAGTCATGTACTTAAAATTACGGATCCCACAATTTAATTTCCATTCAATTATTAAAAAAATTAAATATAAATATTATAATTTTCTAACAATTCCCTACATGAATGGAAATTAGTTAATGCAAATGTACAATGCAGACACTTGAGAGAATTTGGTTGAAAAGGCACCACATCAAGATAGGTAGCTTTTTGCCTTGAACCTTCCATAGTGAAGTAAAATCGGATTTACTAGCTAATCAGTGAACATAATGTCTTCAATTGTTCGGCCGTCATGTAAATCGAAACAATATTACTCACATAATACCTTTTCATACACACTTGGTTCTAGTTTGTGTCTTTTCTGCCATGGACCACTCCTGGTGTTTGTTAGTACTTTAGAGAATTAAGCCCTATAATTCTCATAGAAACGGCCTCATTTCGTACTGATATAGGTGACTTCCTATAAAGTGTATCCCGCTATACTCCACTTGGTTTTCCAAGTCACAGGAATAATTAAAATCTTAACTTAACCATACACGATGCAGGGTGACAGGACCCGACCCAAATTCCACTTTGGAATCTAAGCTGAACCCTGCGTGTGTCAGACACCAAGCGGGTGCCAGGTACACTTGACGAAATTGCCCTTCTAATGAAACCGAAGTTAATCTCAAGTTTGACTTTTGCCGAAAATTCGGCAAAATTTCCCCTGTAAATAGTCGTTTCCCAAAATTCTTCCACCTATACAAAATGCAATTATAATCCCAATTGTTCAGCATGCATCAAGTTTACATTCAAGCAATCCAACAACAGAACTATGTGGCTTCATGCCTTACACAAAAATCCTAGGGAAATTTCAGAGCAATGCTAGTGGGTTTAATTTACAAGAATAATTCGATCACAAAAGAAATCCTACATAGTGAAACGGATGAAGGAAGAGTGGTGATTGCCCTTTGGTGGCGCTCTGGTACACGACTACTACCTGGGGGCGCAAAACATTTAAAAGTGTGAGTGGACAAAAATAAAGTTTGGTAAAATACAACATTAACATACTAACCCCATTGTTAAAACATTTAGAAATCCAATTATCTTCATGTTCTATATTCGTACAAGAATAAAGACATGCATATTTATATACATATAACTATTCACGCATTCAAATCAAATCATCAAAACCTTTTTGAAATAATTTTAAAGAAATAATCTCTTTCCCACCTAGGTGTACCCATCATATATCCGTCAATTCCATGATCTTTATATTCATTTCCCACATTATATCATCAATTCCTTGTGTCACATAATACGACACACCCTCACAGGTCTCGGAAACACAAAGTCCCCCGAGCCGCATTCCTCGCAAGACTTAGGGGACATTTAGTCAGCCTGAGCCGTATTCCTTGCACCACATGATTCGGGCATCCCCGAAACTCGTGGGGCATTGTCAAACGTGCGCTGACTCAACTGAAGGCAACTAGGATGTCCCTGGACATCATTATAATCGAAGGCAACAAATTAACCAAAGGCAACATATTATCGGAAGGCAACATCCTGGGTACCTATGGTGGTTTAAAAACCTTTCCTGGAAAAATTATACTTCTACTTCTCAATAAATCATTTAGTCATATTATCACTTCCTTTCCTACTTTCCAAGCCATTTATCTTTTAAACATAAATAGAATTTAATAAAGATATTTGAATTCAAATATTTATGCTTGGAAAGTAATAGTCATAAATAATTCATTGAATATCAATCAATGAAACTTTAATTGCATAAAATCCATTTATAAAACAAAATTCCACTCACTGAGTGTCCAAGCTAGCCT